GGGGGGGGGGGGGGGGGGGGGGGTCAGGCATAGGTGGGGCATTTGATTTTTTGAGCAAATTTTCAATCAAATGCCCCACTGTCGGGCAATAAATATTGGTCAAATACCCACCATTTTGCAATAAATACTATATTAATAAAAGTCATTCAGTTCAAATTGCCCCAACTCGGGACCAAAATGCTAATCAAAATCCCCAGGGTGGGGATGCAATTGATGATCAAATACCCCACATATGCCCGACACCCCTTAACATTGATAGGTGCATAATGTAATCACTCACAAACAATTATGAAACAGCAATATTTTTACTGACATATTACAAAATATCTTACTGACAATTGGCTTGAATTTTAGGCCGTACCATGTACGTCATTCCTTTTTGCATGGGACCGCTTGGATCGCCATTATCCAAGATTGGTGTCCAGCTGACAGACTCACTGTATGTTGTATCCAGTATGCGTATTATGACGAGGATGGGAGCGGAAGTAATGAACCGCCTTGATGACAACAACTTTGTTAGGTGCTTGCATTCTGTCGGCCAACCATTACCTGCGCCAGATACAGGATACGTATGGCCTTGTAACCCAGAGAAGACGGTCATTACTCATTTCCCAGCAACAAGAGAGATTGTATCATTTGGTAGTGGGTATGGTGGAAATTCACTTCTTGGAAAGAAGTGTTTGGCGTTACGTCTAGGTTCTGTCATGGCCAGAGATGAAGGCTGGTTTGCAGAACATATGCTGGTAAGATTGCTTGCTTAGCAGTGTAGTAACCAAGTCCAATCTAATCCCCTGTTGAACAATGTCCAGCTAACTGGGAATCAAACCATTAACTTACTCGCTGTACAGAATACCCAATCCACATATGTGAGGAACCTTATCGTGAGATGTAGTCTGACCCAGACTGGGGGGACTCATTCCCCCCACTTCCCTTTTGGGCCACCTTTGAGAGATGCTTAAATCTGTTAAGAAATGTTGGGCGGGGGACATGTGCACATACCTTGGGTGTTTGCAGCACCCAACAAAGTTTTTATGACGTCATTTATTCCCCCACTTAATTCTCTTTTGCTGGCTACACCACTGGACTGACCCAGCCAAGAATGACGAGATTGCTTGATACCCTCTGGTTTTTCAAATGGGAGTCAACAGCCCATAAAAGTATGACCAACTTACTCATTTTTTGCATTCATTAATATAAATATTCTCTTGTACTAACTTTAGATCATGGGGATCACCAATCCAGCAGGCGAGAAGCGATACATCGCTGCAGCATTCCCCAGTGCATGTGGCAAGACCAACTTGGCTATGTTAAACCCCACCCTTCCAGGATGGAAAGCCGAGTGTGTTGGTGATGACATTGCTTGGATGAAGTTTGACGAGAATGGAGTCCTCCGGGCCATCAATCCAGAATTCGGTTTCTTTGGTGTTGCACCTGGAACGAACATGAGTTCCAACCCTAATGCAATGAAGACAGTTACAAAGAATACTGTGTTTACAAATGTAGCTGAAAGAAGCGACGGTGGCTTCTTCTGGGAAGGTATGTCTCATGTCAGTTGAAAAAGCTATATGACATTAACATTTGCCAAAAAATATTCTTCACACTAGAAATTTCATGATGATTTTATTTTTGCAGGACTGGAAAAAGAAATTCCACCAAATGTAGCCATAACGGACTGGTTAGGAAATGAGAACTGGAGTAAGGACTCGGGGAAACCAGCTGCGCACCCCAACTCACGTTTCTGTGCACCGATCGATCAATGCCCCGTAATGGACCCTGCTTGGGAAGATCCTGCTGGAGTGCCCATCAGTGCCTTGATCTTCGGAGGTCGGCGGCCACAGGGTATGCCTTTGGTGTACGAAGCTTTCAACTGGCAGCATGGTGTGTTTGTCGCATCAAGCATGAGGTCAGAAGCAACTGCTGCCGCTGAACACAAGGGCAAAGTTATCATGCATGATCCGTTTGCAATGAGACCATTCTTTGGATATAACTTCGCCAACTACATAAAACATTGGTTGAGTTTCGAAGATAAACCAAATCTTCAACTACCAAAGATCTTCCACGTAAATTGGTTTAGGAAAGGAAGCAATGGCAAATTTTTATGGCCAGGTAACCTAACATAATTGTTGTTTTAATATTAAATGAAAAATGTTAAACAGCATGTTTGGCTACCACCAGGGGTGGAAAAAATAGGCGACTGCTTGCAGGGAATGTTAAACAGCTACAGGAAATTCGTTTGAATGAAGATTTGCTATTGAAAATTTGAAGGAAACCTTAACACCCATTATGTTCCATTATGGGCATGCAACAACATATAGGTGACAGACATTCCTTGAATTTAAAACCATGGTCAGCTAGAACACTATATGTTTATGCGCATGCAGATTTAGCACAAAAATACTCCGTTGGTCTGCTGGAAATTTTTGTCTCCAGGTTGTGCTTCCAGGAAGAAAATTCTTTTTTCCTGCCCTGGCTACCACACTATTTCCTCCTAATGAGTCATTTTGCATATACAATATAAACCAACCCAGTTGACTGGTCAGTGAGTCAGACGTTTTAAAATCTAAATTTTTGCTTACTAGGGTTTGGTGAGAATACTCGTGTCCTTGACTGGATCTTCCGACGCTGCGACGGTCAGGAGGACATTGCCACGCCCTCCCCCATTGGTCTACTACCCAAGCCAGATGCATTGAACCTTGAAGGGCTTGGCAAGATTGAAATGGAAGAATTAATGAGTGTACCTAAAGAGTATTGGTTAGACGAAGTACAAGCTATTAGAAAATACTTCAATGATCAACTCTCCACAGATGTACCTAGTCAAATTACGCAGGAATTAGACAATTTGGAAGAGAGAGTGAAACAAAGTTAAGTTATTTATTAGGAATATTCCAAGACATTAAATATGTATTAAAAATGTACAGGGAATTCACTGGAGAGCATGCAGAATAGAATTCTACGGCAGTCTCATTTGTTTTACGTATCTGACCGTTCTTCGTGCTCTCCAGTCACTAGCTTACGATTCTGGGTTTCTTGGTCGGCACAAAACGAACCAGTCTTCTGAAATAAATCAACTTATTGAACTTCGGACTGTACTCGAACGAGACCACCGGATGACTTTGAAACCGTACGTCAATTCATCCGGTTCTATTTCATACAGGGAGTCGTACTGTGTTTCATGTCTCTCGAACGAAAGCAGAAATCATGCAAATTTGAGATCGGTTTGCCTTGCGAGTTGCGGACCCTTAGTCTGCTTAGTAATTTCAGAAGGGATACCTGCCCAAGGACAGGATATTACAAACATTATCTGCACGACTTTGCACTGTTAGCTATGGGTTGATTTTGACTTTGAATGGCAAAACCAGGCTTATGGGTATACATTGCAAAGTCTACAAAAGCACCTTATTATATGCACTAGCCAACATAGTCCAAACTCTAGTTAAAGGACAACAAAGTCCGCTAATCAGAAGTGCTCGCCGCATGGCGTGTCCATCAATTAGAGTTTCAATTAAATTAACAATTGATATTCTATTAATATATCTATATTATAATATTATCAAGTAAAAGATAGTACACTAGCAATTAATGATAAGTGTAACAGTTCACTACCTTCCCCCAGTCCCAGATTTTCAATTTATGGTAGTCAACAACATTTCCGAAAGGGAAAAACGTTTAAGAAAATACCGATTCCAAAAAAATTTCTAGTCTCACGTGATTAACATAGATGGTTAGTTACAACAATCTCAATCTCGTTCCCCGAGCCTGCGATCCTCGGGAAAGAACGCGAGGCTCTGGGATAATCCGTTGCCGGAAGCCAAGAATTCTGGCTAGGATTGAACTACGCATTTCATTTCAACGGCCAATCAGATTCCTCCCTGAAACAGATTATCCCAGAGTCTCGCGTTCCTTCCCGAGGATCGCAGGCTCGGGGAACGAGATTGAACATAACTCTGTCAGCCAACCTTGGTCCCAGGGTTATTCCTCTGCGCTCCTGGGAACGAGGTTGCCTATTTTGACCAGAGATGTTATAGTATAGAGTTTAGGTAGAGTTTTAGATATTTATGTATGTAATGTAGTCTGCTCTGATATTCAATTGTAATAACATTAATCACTATTTATTCATATAATATTCGTCAATTTTAAATCATTTGTTCTGTAATTTAAATATATAATACGAGTTTTCTATTACTGAGAATGTTGCCTGTGTCGATTTTTAACTACAATGGATACGCTTCCCACATACGTTTGAGATACTAAGTCCTATTTACAAACAGTGATTTGTAAATAGGACAACAAACAAAATTTTCACTCCTTGAAGACACCATTTTGTGTCTTGCCTGCGAAGAGGTGGGTAATTACTCACGCCAACCAATCAGATAACTCATTCCGAATACTGCGAGTCAATCTACAACCCCCCCCCCCCCCCCCCCCCTCCCATCGCACTTCGTAAAACAAGTAGCAAACACACACACAAACCCAAACTTAGATTTTATTTCACAAACACGCATTTTTAATTTTTTTATCGCAAATTCAGGTTATATGACTGTACATATTAAAGGCTGTTTATGTGTACCAAGGATAATACCCAATGACCCTTGGTAAACAACAGTTTTGCTGGCCACGTGGCCTAACGGGTAAATAAAGGCAGACATTCACTGGCCATCTTGGTAATTTTTTTATCTAGTAACTAAACTCACACAGTTGAGAGTAAAAAACAAAAAACTTATAATAAACAGACTAGTCCCTAGACGTCTGTCACGCTTTTATTTTCTCGTGACGTCATCGAGTGAAATGGGAAGAAGTTATTTCGCTGACCTCAGAATGACATTTCGTCAAAAATTTTTTCTTCAAGATTTGTTTAGAAACAAACTTGGAGTAGGATTAGGTTAGGGTTAGTGTTAGTGTTTGGAATAGGGTTAGTGTTAGTAAAACCGTTGCTTTGTTACGTTTTGTCACTCTGAGGCCAGCGAAATAACCTCTTCCGTGAAATGCTTGGCAGCCGTCTGCAAATTAAGAGGCCTAGGAACTAGGCTCCATAATAATCGGTCCCTGAAAAGCCTGGTTTCCATTTGATCTCGGCTGTCATAACCAACATGAGGTCACGCATGTGACATCACGTCGACATCTTTTGTGTGCTGTTTCCTAATATATCTTAAAGATATATCGGAATCTGCCACGGGGAACAGTGGAATACATCCTTTTGATAATTACGTCACAACTACACTGTTTTCAACTTAGGACCACCTTAGATAGAAAGAATTTCAAGTTTTTTTTTCTCATGGGCTATACACAGAGAAGCAGAACATCCTTCTTCAACACATGCACGAAAAACAATTTTGGATTTTGATCAATAAATATGGAAATAAGCATTAACACGAAAACGAGGCATGACCTGGAGCCTCGTTTTCGTGTTAAAGCTTATTTCCACATTTATTGGTCAAAATAAAGAATTCTTTTTCATGCATGTGTTGAAGAAGGAAAATCCTTTCCATTTAAGGTGGTCCTAAGTTGAAAACAGTGTAGTTGTGACGTAATTATCGAAAGGGTGTATTGTCAAAACAAAGGAGTATAGAATATTCCGATAACTGGATCATATTTGGAGTGGCCATTTACCAGCCATCTCGACATTCATATCACCACGACCAAATGGAAAGCGGTTTAACAGTTTGAAAACAATACTCCCAGAGATAGCGTATGCAGTTAAAAATATCCTCTACTGTATATAATACTGTCAGTATGCAAGCTGTTAAATTTGAGCAACGAGAACGCTTTGAAAAATATACAGACAGTAAGATTTACTGCTAATAATAATAATAAAAGTATGCAAATCCTACGACGGCCACACATAATACAAATCCTATCATTGTCGAACTTAACGAGTCTTCGCTTTCCTCACTATTTTGCATTTTCTTCTTTATTTCATCTACTTTGCTGGCCAGATTTCGTTTCCGTTCTTCCACCGCCCTTCGACGCACGTGCGAACTGAAAGGGAGGGAATAGCACTATTGAAATTATACGAAAATCAAGTTAAAATACTGGGAACGTTCGTTCATCTCATAATGGACAACTTGCATGTTAGACTAAATTTTAATCTAAGTGTCTAAGAGAAGGGAATCAAACACCACAGCTAAAAAGAACATATGCAAAATTTGGTTGCGTAAGGTTGTAAAGCTTGGAAAATATAGCCTTGTAAAGTTTGCAAATTTTGTATATGTTTGTATTACGTGCGGAAATTGTTACCATTTTCGGCTCAAAAATGGTAGCAATTGGGTAGCAATTTCCGCACGTAAAATACAAACATATACAAAATATGCAAACTTCGCAAGGCTATATTTTTCGTATTTTACAACATTTCATAACCAAATTTTTCAATTTTACTAATTTTAATAAGTTCTTAACGGGAATTTACTTTTCTTGCCTAGATCAAAAATTAGTCTAACATGCAAGTTGTCTATTAGTGTGCGTACAAATAATAGACAGATTTAGATCGAGGACGCGGACGTCAAAGACGACGTGAAAATGGCGTGTTGTGCCCATGTATGGATATGCCACGCCATTTTTGCGTCATTTTCACGTCGTCTTTGACGTCCACGTCCTCGATCTAAAACTGTCTAATATATATGTTTACTCACGCCGATAAAGCCATGAAGGAGTACAATTGTCCTCTTTAATGAGCAATCGAAAGGAAACATAGAGCAAAACAAGTTTCGTTTATTGCGTTTGTTAATTGGAGTGCGCAAGACTTTCATCCAGGAATCCAAACCGACGCGATAGATCGGACAAAAGACTGGGTACGAGTGAAAATAGGGCTATTTCCAACACTTGTTCAATATTGTCAAATACAATTGGGTTCGGTTTTGATCTGAGAAGACAGCCGAATACAAGTTAACTTCCTGCCATTGTTTCTTGATGGGCCTTTACACTCACCGCGAGAAGCGTAACATGTCTTTCGTAATATGCTGCTGTGGTCTGTGTCTCAGATGTCTAAAAAATTTAAACCACCATTTGCGGGTTTGCTCAGTTACTAACCTCTTGACGACGGTTCTTCGTTTGAAACGTGTCAGGTAGTTCAGACACAAACCACGGCAGTATTTTGTAGCATGGACTCTTCTTGTATTAGATATATTAGATAATTTGAATTAAGATATACTAACCTTTCCGTTTCTTTTTCATCAACATACCCAGCACTTTCTCTCTCCATCGTATCCTCTACATCGGCTTCTCCGTTCACAGTGGGTACAAAAGTGACTGATTTCCGTTTTCCACCTTCTAACGAATTCCGCCTGATTGCGGATCTTTTTGGGCGTGGTTCTTTAGAATCAGTACCCTCCTCGTTATCAGAACATTGCCACCTGTCCACCACTTTCTCAACACTTTGACTACTACCAGCCACATCTCTGGAACCTGGTCCTGCACTGATCACATCTTCGGAGCTCTTTATTTCAAAATCACTCGAGAAATGACCTGAGCAAACGCTAGATTGGCCAGGCGTTTGACCTTTGCAATCATCTGCAGTTTCGAAGTCACCTTGACTCTCTGTCACCGGATATTTTATAGTGTCATCACTGTTGTGTTTACATTGTTCACTTTGACTGTCAGAGTTCCCAGATATTGTCTCAGATTCATCTGTGGCTTGTGTTTCGATACCATCACCACCAGTGCCTGTGACATGATGATCTGCATCTACGATAGACGAATGAGGTTCTGCGATCGCGCTATATTTATGTTGTGCTTGATCGACTGTTCCACCTTTGTCCTCCTCTATATTGTCTACTTGTTCTTCCAGTCTGTCCGCTAAGGTTTCGGACGAAGTCGCTGTGACTGTTATCGCGGGAAACCCCAAGTTCTCTGTAATATTTCAGTTCAATTTAGAAATGAAAAACAAAATAGCACGCAGTGGTTTTCGCATCCATTACCTACTGTACCAAGGACAAATTAATTTCATTCCGGGCTTTCATTCGAGTATGATTTTGTTAAAGATATTGAGAACATAAATTAACCTGTTTAGGTCAAAGATAAGCTCAAAAAATTTAAATAAAAAATGTTTGTAAGCCCCAGAGTTGCACTGCAGAAAATAGAATAAGTACTATGAAGACTATCAAAAAAAACACATACCAGATTGGGCGTTATCATTTACAGTTGGTTCTTGGACTTGTCCACTGTTATCGTCTTCCCCCTCTTCGTTACCATCATCTCCAGGTTCTTCACTTTCGTCTCCAGCTTCTCCATTGTCTTCTCCAGCTTCATCACTTTCATCTCCAGGTTGTTCACTACTTTCATCTCCAACTTCACTGCTATCATTAAGGTGGGCATTCACATCAGATAAACCCACTTGATCATCCTCTCCACTTTCAGATTCTGATTCAGATTCTACGCAGAGAAAAAAGTTTAAATAGAAAACTTTAATTTAGCCACCCCTCAATATGCTAAATATTGCGTAAATTTCGCCCTGTTTTCCACCGAGTTGCCTGCGGAGAAGGCTGCGAATATAACGAGCGAACTACCTGTGACCGCTGCTATTGGTTCTTTCCTCGGTTCCTTCCCGCCTGGCTGGTCATCCTGTTCACCATCCGCCCTTCTCTTATCCGCTCGATCCACGTATTCTTCTTCTTCTTCGTACTCTTCCGCGGATTCCCCCGCTTAGAAAAAAAAATCAAGTCAGATTTGTTTATTTTGTTATGGCCGTTTTCCATTACGATCGTCGATCGCTTTGTGCAGGATGAATGCCACTGATCCCAAATAATGAGAAGAGTTACAGTATGATTAGTGCCCACTTAAATGAACCCCTTTTCCAATAACAGGTTTTTTTTCAGGGATTTTTTAGGGCCGTTAAACGGCCCCAAAAACTCAATCTTGAATTGAGTTTTGAAACTCAATCTTCTCACCAAAGTTTCAGTGTAGTAAAAATGAAGTTGTTTGAGTTAAATTCGTGACATGTGAAAATTAGTTTTCAGTTGGAAACCCGACAATTAAAAAAAAATGGCTGGAATTCATCTCACAACACAAGAAAAACTATGCATTCGCCATATTTAACCAGTTTATAGTGTCCCTTAATGCCCCTGTTTTAACACATTCCGTCTCAACTACATTTATTGAGTACAGGTGTCAGCCCCCGGTAGGGGAGGGGGGTGCAGCCACCCCAGCTGTTCAGCTAAACTCAATCTTCTCTGCAAAAACGGATCCAAGAGAAAATCCTGAAAAAAATCCTGCAATAAGCGTATTCTCAGAAAGACAGAGAGCTATTCAAATACTTACTCATGCTATAATAAGCATTGCTATAGGCAGAAGGTGCTACCATATTGGCACCCTCTAGGATAGCAATATAAGAGAAGTGAAGTTGCTCTGTGGTTTGAATAAGACCTGGCCTGTATGTTCTCATTTCAAGAAGTTTGCTTTTCACATCATAATCCATCATGTTATCTTTTTGTTGTATCTACAATATAAGATTTAATTGTTTTTGTTTGTGGAAACACCACGTAAATTTACGTGGTGTTTCCACAAACAAAAACAATTATATTTTATCGCCATGCAAACATTCAAAGAACTTAATATAAGATTTGCTACCATTTATGTAGATAGATGGTTTATTGAACTTTAGAACTTACAGCCTCAGAAAATTTCACAGCTGAATTACGCTAAGTTTAACAGATATAAGATATTAAGAATATATGCTATGAACCCTATTTATATTTAAAAAATTAAAAAATCAAATCAACTATCTAAAATGTATATTAGAATTGTTAATGTTCCAACCCAAGGTATCTGGTTCAAGTGTTCAACATACTATTGGTATACTTGATTGAGACACTCACTCACTCAGAAATAGTACTCATGGTTTGCACTTGAACGTTATAGGGGCCATGTTGGAGGAATGCTAACAAAAGGATGTTATTAACAGCTATTGTATTTCAGGGCCGTAGGAAGCTCTTTTTGATTGGAGGGTTAAAAGCGAGGGCCAAAGGCCCGAGGAAATTTTTAAATTTAGAGTCTCTGAAATGCCACTTCCTGGACTTTGGGAAAGATTTGACAGAATTTTGGTCAGAAAACAGCGTCATAGTGTGTCGAAATTTACAATTTAGTAGTACTAAATGGGCGAAGGTGTATTTAATTAACTATATATATTGGATAAGTTGCAGGAAAGTATAAAATTACCTCTGTAAGAGCAGAATCAATAAGAGCAAATGTCCCTGACCGTCCAATTCCAGCACTGTTTTGTAAAGAAAGTTCATAAAGGTTATCTATTTCTCTTCATAAATATAATTTATATTGATACATTCAGATCACTGAGTTACAAAAGATTAAATTTATAATATATACATGTATTATTAATACATTTATTATCATACAATATTGGTAACATGGGCAACAAAGATACTGATACAAAATTTTAAACTTAGGCCCAGAATACCAATATGGATGTCAGTGCATCACCAATAATTTGCAAACACAGAAGTTAATTCAAACTCTATATTCTACCTGCAGTGTATAACAGGAGGTCCAACATCCTGTACAGAAGACTGATATTCCTGGACGGTTAATAAATATTTGAGAAATGCTTGTGGCGATGAAGGGACTCCAAAATCAGGCCAAGCCACATAGTGAAAATGACGAATGCTTCTTTTGCTTTTCTCCTTTGAAATAAAACATTACAATCAGTTAGTTAATTAGTAAAACCATTGGCCTTTACAAAGAGCAAATGAATAAAGTATGCAAAAAGGCACCATGGTTGTAATACGTATATGTGATATATTGTGAACAACTCTGCTCAAAACATTAAAAAACATAATATGTATATGTTTTCTTGATCTTTAATTGCATAGAAATTTCCATTTATCATACCTTCAAGTGTTCTAATTCTAAAACTCTGACAATAAATTCAGTGTGATCATCTTCCTCAACAACAGTCACTTTTATGTCACCAGCTGTTAGTGAACCTTCCAATGGCCAGTATTGGTGGCACTTGAGCTATAAAATATTTGTGTTAATTTAACAAATGTTTCATAAGTCAGATGGATTTAACATTAGTCAACAGGGTGTGTTGACCGTGTTGCCATTCAGATTCATTTGCCAGGGGGGAGCATATAGATTCATTTTTCTTTCAGGAAGGGATGTTGTCATAGAGTCATTTTTAGGGGGTGTCATCAATCAGACTTATTAGTCAAGCAATGACTTTATCAGGGGGCGTAGTAGTTTTTATTTCAGAGGGTATTGTCCTTCAAATTATGAGGATTTCTAACCTGATTTTTTTCAACAACTCTGTTCAGCATAACAACACTATAAGTATTCTGTTCCCAAACCATTTCCCAAAAGTGTTTACATGTGTTTGCTAGAGGACCCTATATTATAAACACAACAAGTTATAACAACAAGTTATTATAACAACAACAAGTTATTATAGTTATAACAACAAGTTATTATAGTTATAGTTTTTTAGTTTTTCACGACCACATCAGCACTGCCTGTAACTAACTTATCGTGATTAAATAAATACATATTATTATTATTATTATTAAGTTAGACATTATAAATAATATTTTTAACCATTGTTCAGGATTCACACTTTCACAATTTTTTTTACAAATACAGTGCTCAAAAGCAAATTGGAAAAAGTCATGTGATCAATATCTTCACTAGTGAAGATATGGAAAATATCTCACTGTGTATTTTCAGTATCTCACTCTCTAGCCACTATATAATAAATATCAATATACAACAGCCCTACATACAGTAGTACTGTACATAGTTTTTACCTGTGTTAAAATATACTCTTTTCTAATTGATGCAACCTGAAAAATATAAGTACAAGCATTTTTTGAGAAAGTGCATTTTTTATGTTAGTGACAAGTTAAAGGACCTATTCCCTAATGAACAAAATTTTGATCTAGACAAGTCTAGACAAAAATTTCATCACAGCTTGAAAGAGCTGTTATAAAATACAGATAATATAGCCCTGCGAAGTTTGCCGTTTTTCAGTCATTTTGTATTACGCACAGGAATTTGATACTGAAAAAAGGTATCAATTTCCTGTGTGTAATACAAAATGACTGAAAAACGGCAAACTTTGCAGGGCTATATTATCCACATTTTACAACATTTCGCAACAAAACTTCGGAATATTACTAATTTTGTGATGCTCTTTCAAGCTGTGATGAAATTTTTGTCCAGACTTGTCTAGATCAAAATTTTGTTCATTAGGGAATAGGTCCATTCATGTGCCTTTCATGTGAGCTACTGGGGTTAATAATGCTGTTATCTGTGTTATCTGATTATAATTTTGCTTTGATACATGTGAGAAGAGTATGTCCAATTTGCTTATGCCAAACACTGGTGGTTTTGATTGGTTGGCAATTGACAACTTAGGGGCGGACCATTAGAAATCCCGGGAGGGGGGTATAAAATTTTTGCGGCACAAATTTTTTTTTCAGTCTCGTGTCTCTGCAGGAATTTTTTTTAATGCGTTTAACCTCTGCACAAATTTTTTTTCAAGACTATTTGTACTTCGCTGTTTGCTTGCACGAATTTTTTTTCTCTGACGTAATGGCTGCACGAATTTTTTTTCCAGGCATTTTCCTTTGCACGAATTTTTTTGGGGGAATTTTCACCCCCCCTCCCGGGATTTCTAATGGTCCGCCCCTTACTGTCATATCAGGTTGGCAAAAAGTTGCAATTATAATTTTCTGATTCAAAATCAGAGCAAAAAAGAGCAGAATGAGAATGTGAATGACAGCAGTCAGACTTTTAACCAAGTTTTACAGTAGACATTTTACCAAGTTTTAAAAAAATGTAAAGGTATCATTAATGCAAAAATCATGCGACCATTTCTTGGAAATGCAGTTACTGAACGGAAAACTGAAGTTGGAGTGACCTAATCAATATTCTACCCATTTTCATATGCCCAGGCAACAATTATATCATATATCAACATCGGCATTAAAAAGTAGAGGGTATAGTACCTAATTAATACAACCGATTCGTACAATGAGGGGGATAGTATTTACATACATAGTGACAAGTTAGAACATATATATTCCAAACATGTTGGGGGTAATAAAATGTAAATCAGGAAACTATAACAATAGAATGATGGCACAAATAAGGACCATTTCCTGACAATCTTTAAATATTTTTTTAAATATACTGAGGAAACGCCATAATTTTCTAAACATTTTTTATACAAAACATAATCTAGGTATACTTGTCTACCTATTAACTCATAACAGTCTGATATTTTCAAAACTAAAAATATTTTTGACAATATTGATAGCCTAGTTTTCAAAACACTTGAGGATTCGCACGAGTGGTCTCTCTTGTAACTAGTCAACCCACGCGGATTATATAATGCTAGTATTTTCTGCCAAATTAAGATCATTTTGAACACAAATCGTCCTGATACGGCAGTTTTGTGCGATTATATGTCCATTTTAAGGTACTTTTTACAGCACAAACCTTAACAAAATTCGCATTTATGTATTCTGTGTCGCTATTTCGCAAGCGAACCAAACTGTGGTCATCTGTCAAGAAAACATAAAAAACAAATATCTCATAACTGGGCCATAAAAATACCAAGAGAAAAGCAAAGAATATAAAATACAACGTTATTTTAACAACAAAGCGTTCGCTTTCATAATTTAACAAGAAACTATTCGCAATTGCAAGTTTTGAAACAAGAATCAGCATGTATTAAATAGCTCAGTACGTACAAGGGACGACATCTCTGTATCGATTATAATTCCTATTCTCGGCACTTTTTCCAACTTTTTGCGAGCCAGCTGTTGACTTAGCCTTTATGTTCAGGTGCTGTGTGTTGAAAAATAGAAAGAAAATTGACATTTAGTTGTTATTTAACAGTTTGTTCCCATATGCAACTTTACATGCCAGTGACACTCAAGTGCAGCTTTCCTGCCAAAGTTCAAAGCTCGGCAAAGGCTTTTCTCTGTTGCATACAAACCTGAAATGTAGAATGCCACGACCTGGAGTCGTCCATGTGTTGTACATCTTGAAAAATCATGGCGAATATAAAAAATACTGACATAAGATGCTACTCTTTACATTTGAAGACACATAAACTATAGAAGACATCAAATTTGTTTCACTATGACGCTTGCCGCTGTACGGAAAAGGACCGCAATCATTTACGTCATCACTACTGTATTAATATTTCCTGCAAAGCTTTTAGCGCTTGTTGCTCCCTTCCGCGAAGCGTCCTGCTTCCGTGTGACTTTAGTTTTCTATGTTCCTTTTTTTCTCTATAATGATTTCCTGTTTCAATGCTATAAAATTAGGGCGGCAGATCACTGCAGATACGGCTAGTGCGCTACCCTGTGCCCCTGTGGTTAGACTTGTCCCAAGTCGACTTCTTTTTTTTAACTTCCACGAAGACCTTCGCCTCTTCTGAGAAGGTCGAGGGTGGATTAATGTTAATTAATGGGTGATAACCGTCATACCTTGCTCTGCCTTGTTCAAGATGTACTTCTTTAAAACTATGTCGAAACTCATTAATATAAGTTGAGGTTGTTTCTCTCTTGCGGGCCCGCTGTGCCTCGTGGGATTTTTCTAGAGTGTTTACGTCACTTTATAGGCTAGTAAAGACACTTGCAATTTTTGCTGGAAAACAGACTAACGAAAACAGGAAAATGAACTAACAAAAAAGGAAACAGACTAAAAAACAACTAATACACAATCAAAATAACACACAAACAGCCAGAAACTAAAATTCCTAAAATAATTGGTTTAACTGCATTTTCCAAATTTATCTTACCACGAGAGCAGAGCCTTTATTTTATTTTCTTGGGTGGAAATCAGGCTCTGCTCTCGAGGTAAATTTATCTGTATATATAATTTTGTTACAAGATAAGGATAGTGATTAGTGTTGCCTCTTGACAGCAAAGCATATCAGTGCCATTAATTGGCATTATTGGTTGTTTATTCACTTTATCGAGAGAGTCCACAATAGCTTTCCCGTAAATATCACTGGTAAATATCTTATATCTATCGTAATGGTTAGAAAGTCTGGATTTAAGAACTCTAGCCACTGTGGACTCTTCAATGGCTAACTAAAGTCTAAAGAGTAAAGGTCAAGTATTGAAGAGAAATGAATAATTTTAAATAGTGATGACTGGTGTGTATATGAGCAAATTTGTGCTCCCCGTCATAGTATTTCTCTCGTTGCATCAACCATTGATGAAACGCTAGATGCTGTGTGTTTTCTTCTCCTGTCCATTGTCGCCAGTTCAGTTCAGTAGTGTTATCATTTATTCGTCAGGTTTGATGCAATGCAGTAAAGCCAATTATCCATATTACCTAAAAACAAAACAACAATGAAGAAACAAAACTGCCGTGGATCATTGCAAGAACAAAATGGGGTAGCCTCGCAGTAGCTCGGAAGAGTGATTTTCATTGGCTCGATTTGACAATTGCTTTTGTATTTATAACAATGAATTGCTTCGTTCTTTAGAAAACCCCTATCCAATTGGAGACGACCTTCCGAGGCACTGCGAGGCTTCCCACAAAATGCCGTGGATCATTGCGGCAACGACGGCAATTTTTTGCCGTATAGTGCAATTTTATACTATTCACTGTGCATTACTATTTTGATACTTGAATTGAGATGTTGATCAAATCATGCGTAAATCACTATTTTAGTCTCAGTTTTCTTCGAAAAAAAAACACTAAAGAAATACGTATACATGTTTCTAGATTGTCAAAAATCCAAAGTAACAATAAAATTAAAGTTTTATTACAGTAATTTGAAAAATGCCGCGGAAACTGTCAAAATTGCCGTAGACAGCTGTTGCCGTCGATTGATTTCGGGGAAATTCGAGGCCCGGTTGATACCTCATCAAAACCTTTTGACCTTCATTCAAAGTATATTTGCTTTTCATGTCAGCTATCATTCAGTTAATTCAAGACTTCTAAATTTATTGGAAGGGGGGGGGGGTAGGGGGGGGACACCAAGAAAACCATCCCCTCTAGCATCCCACTGGGGATGGGTGAGGGAAATTCTCAAATCACTGAGCATACCAGAAACAATGAGAATGATGTAAAGAATCCTTCTTTAGTCAGTTCCATAGGACCACCATATTCTTCATCATCGATTTTTTGAAAGTTTGTGAAGTATATAAAAAGAACTCCCGCATTTATTAGGGCAAATCTAATAAAAAAGTGAATGAGAACTCAAAATCACAATCAGAAATTCCGATTACAAATTGCAAGGTAAGTGAATTCATCTTAACAGAGCATAGACAGTCTGCACAGGCATGCTGACGTGTATTGAATATTAATAAGGCCTAAAAAAATACCTGTGGTTCAGGTTTCATCTCGCGAAAAAATTAGGGTAGGTAGGTCGGAAATAATTTTTTTTTTTGAATATTTTTTTCATGATTTTGGCGGTTTTTTGCTGTGCGATTGTCAGTAGAGTCCCGACATCAATATTAACTAGAGATGCGTAGTTCCTACGGACAAATTTAGGCAATTTGGTTCAATAATTATTGTGACAACAGACGCCATTTTGGCATGCTGTACGAGCAGCCCGCTACCACCCACAGAAAATATCTGTCGCACGGTCAATCGTGTTGAAAAAGATAATAGGTCGGCAGGAAAAAATAGAGTTGGTCAGGAAACCGGAAGCACAGGTATTTTTTTAGGCCTAAGGCAATCTACTGGATTATTTCAATATATAGTTGGCAAAACAATATTACATCCTTGACTGAGCCCACAATACCATGGAATGATGTTCAGCAACATGGGCAAATTTCTGTGCAATTTGTTGTCATGATAAATAACAGCACTCAAAATAATATTCAGTAAATATGCCTAATAGTGTACGCTGGTTTTGTGACAAGCAAGTTGTCAGCCATAATTATTATATTACTGTGAACAGGATTTATAATGTGTGAAGTGTGCCATTTATGAACAGTTTGAACAAACTTTGGTTGCAGTAGCATACTAGCATGTGAAGTTGGAAATTATGAGCTGTTATATTATTTTAATCTGTCTAACACCTGATGATTTTATTTGTCAAGAGGAGAACACTGGCTTTTAATGGGTTAAACTCCTAGTGTATGATATAATACTTACAACACTAAACCAACAACCCCCTTAAGTGGAATAATTGCCCATATTATTCCCAAAATTATCGCCAGAACTTGTCGTAGCCAGTATATTACATCAAGAAATTCATCCTAAAAATATTCAATAAATGAAACAAAAGTATACCAAGATTTTGGGCATGCACAGCAATAAAATGATAGTACACCTGGCGTACTTATAATCAACCAAAAATGAACATCAATCAATACAAACTGCAATAAAATGATTGATATTGGAAATCAATGACAAAACTATAACTAGTATCATTGTGACCTTTGGATTATGGATTTTCAATGCCTCGTCCCCAGGCACTATATAAAATGTTTACATGAAGTATTCTAATGGTGTTTACAGACACTCTCTGCGCCCCTGTAAGCGCCCCCAAAATACTTCATATACTTGTCTGGGGACGAGGCCACAGAATAAAGACACACTGAAGGTTGCCAAAAAGTGTGACCACTGCCATGCCATGATTCGTCATCAAAATGCTGGCACCATGATCCTAGCCAGTGCGCTTATTAGAGGCATTCACCCCCTGGACGCCCACCATTTTGAATATTATCAGGGGGTAAATGCCTTCATAAGCGCACTGGCTAGGACCATGGCGTCAGCATTTTGATGATGAATTACGGTTACGCCAAAATCATAGGAAAAACCAAGTCGATCTTCTGTTTGTCTCTATTCTGTGACGAGGCTGAGATTTTCATAGAAATATTATGAACACGAAATATTTCAGTTATAAATTTCAGGAAAAAACACGTCATGCCTACAAACCTGGCAGAAACGTATATTTGACACTTCCCTAAATTTGATAAAAATCGATGAAATTAGCTTTAGCGACTATCATCTGGTCGATCAGACTGCCGTTGATCGATTTTTTCGACTGGGTACGCCAGGTAGTACACTATATTACACATGTGAGTTGTATTAACAATATTTGAACATACTTTATCATCCCAATTTGAGCCAGCAGAAAACGCTTTACTCCACGAAGACGTCTCTGTTTCAACTTCTACTCCCTTTTTTCGTCTCTGGACGTTCATTGTGGACCGAAATAAACTTATTTACACTTCAAAAATCGATGAAGACGTTAAAAAAATTTTTTCACTCTTGTTGGGTCGCCATGTTTTGCATAAATTAATTCCATTTCAAAGGTCATTCTTTGAAGATCCCTATGTGTTCTATACATGTCCTTCTCAAGTCTATGTTATGACCCTTTTTATACTCAACAATCCCTTTAGCTACCGTCGTTTGCACCTATAGATGAACAGCTGGAGACAAAATATATTGTCTGTATTTTTATACTCGAAACTTTCATGCTTGTCAAAAGCATTTGACAGGTTTTACAGTAATTCAGCCAAACACGTTTTATAACGAGCCTTGCTGAGTTGTAAACTAACAGCATAAAAATGCTTGTACTAAGCATAAAAATGCTTGTTACAAACATGAAATTTCACGTTTTCATTGGCAAAGTTTAGATCTAGAAGTAAACAAAGGTAAAATTAAATTTCTTAGTAATTTGGCCAAATTTGTCCTTTTTTGAAAAACCAGAGATTGCAGAGAATTCAACGGAAATTTTAGAAAATTATTAAACAAGGAAATCCCGTAATAGTGAAGTGGAAACACTCACCCCATGATTCAAAGCGGCCCGCTTCGTTCCAATTCTTTCTTTTTATGTTTTGGAAGTAAGGGTCTGGGTATGTAGTTCAAAATCCCTTTATTATTTTGTCATCCTGTGCCCTTTTCCTTTCTTTTTATTTTTAATGGAAGCTACATATAATAAACCGTGTTGTCCCTATTTCATTTTTTTAATCCGTGCAGAAAATTCGTCTATTATTTGATTTTATGTGGCACTTGTTCTTTCAGTCCTCAAATCAGGCTTAGTTTAAATTAAATCATTCTTTATTAAATAGAAGTAATTCCAATTCATTAACTCTGCTTTGCTTTGGATTTTGACCTAAATTTTTAGTTGAACATCAAAAATTTATGTTAAAATCTAGACATTCGGGTATATATTAAATTTAAACTGCTCACCAGAGAAAATTAGAAAAATAGGTACAAGACACAGTCTGATACCCATGTGTCAAATTCAATTATTTTAAATGCAACATGTGGTTTTGCTACGGCGATTGATTCACGCTGTATACAATGTTGCACCAATACACCCTTCTAGAAAGTATGTCACTTTGGCTACAGAGCCTCGTTTTCATTGTATACGACATTAGTTATAAAGTATAACGTTTCAATCGCAAAAACGAGGCTCTATGACCAAGATGACCTACCTTACGGAAGTGTGTATTCACACAGAACTACAACATATGTCAAAATTAATTATGTATAATTTGAAAATCTTGTCATATTTTAGGGTGTTTGTCAAAATAATCCAGCACCATGGCTCCAAAACACAATAACATGATTCATAACAACCACTTTCACAAAGATTGGCAAAGATATGTCAAGACGTGGTTTAATCAGCCGGGAAGAAAGAAGAGACGTCGTGAAGCAAGAGTTAAGAAGGCCTTGAGGGTTGCACCGAGGCCCTTTGCTGGTGCCATCAGACCCGTTGTTCGATGTCCCACATTTAGATACAACACAAAAGTCAGGGCTGGCCGAGGTTTTACCCTTGAGGAACTCAAGGTAGTTCATCAAGAAAGATGTTTCCCAAAATACTATGTGCAATATCATTTGTTTTACAAGTTCAGTTCTGCAACCAAAACAAAATTTTTTTCTGTCTTTCAGAATGCTGGAATCTCGCGTAAAGTTGCACCCACTATAGGGATTGCTGTCGATCATCGTCGTAAGAACAGATCTCAGGAGTCGCTGCAAGCAAATGTGCAACGACTTAAAGAGTATAAGAGCAAGTTGATCATTTTCCCAAGGAAAGCCAGCAAACCCAAACAAGGAGATAGCGAGGTATGAAAACAAGGAAATATGTTAGCTCCTTCAGCATGCCTTCTTAGGATTCACCATCTTCATAAGGATTCTTCTCAGGATTCACCATCTTCCTAAGTGGGTCAAACACAATAGACCAAACAATATCATGACCCTACGGACAAGTATCCACACTGGGATGAGGCATTGTTTGTACCATTGTATTTGCCCCATTTTGCAAGATGCCATTGCAAAAGGATGGCAGCTCCCTCCCAACATAATGAGCCGTTACAAAATTTTGGCCCCAACTCCCGTCACAAAAATTTTGTAAGTTTACTCATGGAAAATTTTTGATTGGTTGGGTGGTACATCCCCCTCCCCAATTTTCTCTCTCCCGCACGCCTATGTATCCTAACATATAAAAATCAAACAAAGTCTAACAAAAATATTCTTTCTTTTTAGGCTTCAGAACTTGAAATGGTGAAACAGCTCCAAGGTGATGTATTGCCAATCCAGAGAATGACCATGCCGATCAAGGCACGACAGATCACGGACGAAGAGCGAAACGTCAGCGTGTTTACGACCATGCGTATGGCACGTGCTAACAAACGTCTGCTGGGAATCCGGGCGAAGAGAGCAAAGGATAAGGCTGAAGAAGCAGCGTTGAAAAAGAAGTAAAATAACGTTGAAAAATTAATAAATCTTTGGAAATGAAAATTGTGTGCGTCTGATTTTATTCTGGGAGCACTTTACAGGCCTGCAAATCATTATCTTGCTTGGAAGGACAAATGTCCGGTCAAGACAAGAAATGTCGGTCATTTATCAATTTTTCTCGGAACAATAGACAAAATAATTTTTTTCATTTCTTTTGAAAATTGGCACGATTGTTTCGAAGTCATTAGTTCTACCCTGGCAAGGCAGCATTCTACTAGTAACGCTATTGAACAGTATAGGTGGCTTTCGTCAGGCTTCAGTTACATGGAAGGTATTTAAATGTCATCATTTGACTTTCATCAGTCTCGTTGACGTAGGATTGCTTGAAACTCGCCTGTAATATTCTGTTAGCATGCGTGGTGGGCTCATTATTCAGACAATGAGCCTGCCACGCGGGCCAATATTTTGTTTGCGTAAACGTATTTGCCAAATCAGTGATTGCAAAGAATGACCATAAGAGCAAACCAAGCAACACCTACCTGTATAACCATGGGACAAAATAATTATATTTCTTTTGTTCAAAAACTAATCAAAATTCTTTTGTTGTAATTAAAACAGTAAAATGACGCCATAGAAACCTCAACAACTTAATTATAATAGCACAGAATTCTTTATAGCTCAATTTACAGGTAAATTCCGGTTATTTTGCATACTAAACGAACAGAGGGGATAAAAAGCTTTTGTAGGGTAAATTCGTTCGTCTTCCTGTTTGGCGAGCTGCTGCAAGGTAGCGTCTTTCGCCAACGGTTTTGGCTTGGTCGTTCACCACGAATTAGTTGAAGCACATCGTTCTCAGTATTTCTATTTGTAAGTATATGTCGCTGCTGCTCGGTACAGTTTGCGATAGCTTAATCCAAAATTTTACATCAGAGCCCATCAGGGCCACGTCATATTCTTGTATTTGGTAGCCAATAAATGGCGGGAGGGAATGAGAAATCTCGCTTGAATTATACCTTGTTTTTATTACTGTCCACATTTCCGAAGTTAACCACCATTTACTGTCGTACTATATTATAGATGATAAAATATTTATATTTCCAGGAGAAAGGCTGTGCCAGTGTGCCCACAGTTATGGCAGAGAGAATGAAAGCCGTATTGCATGGAGATACCATGACAAAATGTCCTTCTAATGCCAAGATAGTTCGAATATTTACCAGTTCAACATTCACAGGTGGGTAGAAATGAATACCATTGAAGTAACTTTATTTATACGAGATTGCTCTAACTGCAGCTATAGAGGTGCGATGGCAGCCAGGCTATTCATTATTAACAAATTTGCGAGATTTGTCTAAAATTTATCTCTTGATGAGATTGAGCCGGCTCTGATGTGGAAGAAGTGAAATTTATAGCGCTTGGCACAGGGAGGCAATATGCTGGCAACCGCTCTCCCAATATCTCGCCAAGTTTCCTGTGCTGGTGTAAACCAATCTTAATTAATCAAAATTGTACTAATAAGGACAAAAGAACACTTGCAACAATAACTGTCTCTATTAATTTGTTACTCAAGCATGAACATTTTTGAGCTGCAACAATTTTGTTGCTCGTATTACCTCATCGTAAACTGAACTTAACTGATTTCTTCTCTAGACACAAAACACGAACGCAATGCACTAATGACACGTGTTTACCCTCAGTTAAAACAGTTTTGTAAGAGCAAAGGATATGAATTTCAAGTAGTTGATATGAGATGGTGAGTGCGAGATGAGTCCACTGCTGATCACATGACGACAACATTGTGCATGCAAGAAATTAAAGCTTGTCAAGAACTTTCAACTGGACCTAATTTTGTGGTAAGTTGAGCTTGCTTTCTCCGGGCGAAG